TCCGCGGGAGAAAGATGAGGCTTTCTGCTCCCGTAAAGATTTACAGCCTCAGAAACCCTATACAGGGTCGCTATGAGTCAGAACCGACTCCGCGGCACATAACAACAACAGGCATATACAATAATTTCCACCACCAAAGGGCACATTCTGCAAGTCTGCCTCCTGGCCGCTATCTTTTAGTCCCTCTCTTTCCGTGAATCTAGAGTCCTCAGATGCTCCCTCTCTCCATGTCCCCATCTCTGCCTCCATCTCTGGTGTCGCTGCTTCTCTGGATAAGGCCCCGCATTCTGCTTGTGCACTTCTCCCTTGAAGATCCTAGGGTCCTTTGTTTGTGGGCTATAAGATTAACCACTCTCCTGTTTTTGTGACAAAACTTCTACCTTTACAATTGTGAGAGTCGCAATTAGACACAATAACATTTACTCGTTATTGAATCATAAGCATCTTATCCCCATCTCCTTTAACCAGACCCATCTAGACAAGATGAAAACTGTTCAGCAGGGACTCTTCCTTTCCCCCCACACTATTAAACTCCATTCATGAAACCTTGTAAGCCAGTCACTTTGTGCCTTTATCACCCCCTCATTTTAGGTAGCCAATGTCCAAGTTGCCCATCCCTATTTACCCTGTGTACAGAAGGGATAGCATTGATACTTGATGTGAAGACTCCTTTCCTCTCTGTTGGTGTTTAGAGTTACTATCTCCATGAGTATAGGTCAAGTTCATCAGACTATAGCAATTTATCATCATTTCCTTTATCAAAATTTGTTTTTTGTTTTTTTTTTAATCTTCCTCTAGTTGAGTTCTGATTATTAAGCCATCGAGGTTAGGTCACGTGGGTACTATCTGCAAGTTTGGGTGTTCTTGTGCATCTCCCCTCACTTCATAGCAGCTGGATGCTTCACTCTCAGCTCTAACCCTCTGTGGTTATGTCCTTGTCCATAGACTCAAGTGTCCCAGGTCTCACCACACTTTGGACAAACCAGCCCTTGTTCTTCTCTCTCTCATTTCCAGGTCCATGGGAGTCTGTGGAATGTGGTTGAACTCAGCCCATTTCTTCATTGCTGCCTTTCCCCCTCTTCTATTCACCAATAGACCAACATGGGCACCAGCAAGCTTACATGCCTGCTCATGTGTTCCCTTTGAGTTTCAGTCTTAGAGGGGGATTTATCCTGAAGGA